GACTTAATCACCAAATACTTTGCACGTACAACAGTCAGTGGCTTTTAGTCAGCTTTGTACTCAATCACTCTCTTGAGTATGATACGATACCATCTTATTCCGATTCATCAAATAATTCTAATTTCAGCAGCCATCATGTTACACATCATAAGCCTCAGGATGTCTGGCATAAGTGTAATTTATCCTGATTATTCAGTAGTTATTCTCTACCAAAGTGTACTGTTTACGTGCGGACAGATGATCAAGACTGCAGCACTAAGTTTACAGTACACAATATATACATTAGTGCTGAAGAACATTTTTCTTCATCCTATTTTGCTTATGGCTGTCTCTTTTTAAGGATGGACTTTGTGTATTGGTGTCGAATGTGACTGGATTTTAGCTGAAATCGCACCAAGCACAATCTTCGAGACACCGCTCGATCGTCAGTGTTTTCTGTATTGTATTGTATTGTGTTATTGTATTGTGTACCTATTACGCCTGTGTATTTTACCTTTATATTATAATTAATTATGTATTTTGTAACACCTATATCTATCTGTATCTTTATTATTGTAATTTGTTATCACAGGGTAGTGCTCACTGCGGAACCCGGCATGTACTATTGTGTGCGTTAATAAAGAAATGAATGAATGAATGAATGAATGAATGTCAAGCAAAGTCGTTATTGTCTACGGCATCCATGACATTATATATTTTTCCAAAATTACATCAAACAAACATAGATTTAAGGAATGTACAGTGCTACGACAAATTGCCACCTTTTGCTGATTGGTTCATGTTTGGGAATAATCATATTATATATGAATCAATGAAATGCTGCAATAATTTCAATTAGTGTAAATTTTGAGTTTTTTTAAGGCTTCGAGCAGACTGCGTCATATTGAATCAGCGTTAAGCAGGGGTCTTACTGTATATGTTAAGCTGCATAATTTATTAAAAGATACATAAATTTTATCAAGAACTCTACCAATTTAATAAATTCTAAATAAATTCAGGTTGATGACATCTTGAGAAAACTGAATTTACTCTGATAAGCTTTAACTTTTACTTCAATGCAGTTTACAGAGGTTAAAGCACATCAATATGGCAACCTGAATGATATCTATACTTTAATGATGTCAGTACTACAATTATAATGTCTTTAATTAAAAAGTCAGTTTATGTCATTTTTTATTAAAAACATTTTTCCTCTTCCTATCTGTTTCTTAATAGTATCCTTTTGAAATATTAATCCAGTTATATTTAATGCAATCCTATTAAGATGCTTCAATAAAAAACATCTTGACCTTAAAATCACTAAATTTTAAAACTAATTTATAGTATCCAGTTTCCAAGAATAATTCAAATATTCCATAATACTGAAGATGATGGCATAATAATTTCTGTTATTGAGAATAATTGATAGTAGTAGTATATATGTTGCTTCTGGTGTAGTGAAAATTAGGAATCTAAAATCATAAAATTATGGTCAAAAAAGCACAAAAATCATATAAAAATGTCCAAATTCTTAAAAAAAGAATTTAAATTTTCACTGCCATTCTTATCTCTTTACATTTGTAATTTCAGTTGTGTTTATAAAAAAACAAAAAAAAATTTTTTTTTCCTTGTATTTAATCTGANGCTAAACCACAAATAACCATTCCCAGTTCTGTATTTTATTTATAAATGCATTTTTAATAATATATGATTAATAAGAATCTATTTTAAGCTTACAAACAAATAAATTTTACTTTTTTCCCTGTACTATATTAAAAAACTAATCTAAATTTATGAATACATGAATGGTACATACAGTACATTTGCTTTGTTTTACATGTTTTTTTAACTTTGCTAAATCCCTGGCTAGCTTGATCATCATGAGATGAAAATTCTGCTCTGGACACATTTCTAACCATATCAACATTTGTTTCTAATACATCAAATATTTCACTGTGCCTATGTACAGTGAAGCATTTGATTATAAGTGATGTATTAGAAGTCTGTGACTTCATTACAATACAAATAAGTGCAAGTAATAAATAAACCTTTCTAACACTAGTGTTGATAAAAAGATAGTTCAATAGTTGGGACTACAGAAAGTTGCCAACAATTGTTATGTAAAATTTTTGTAATTTCTGGAATTATTTGAACTCAACTTCAGACAGTACTAATTGATTTTTGGATAATTGATGCTCTACTATACTGTAGTTATTCAAACAGTTTTTTTTTCTATTTTTGATTTTGGTTTATTTATTTGGATGGTTAGTAAATTATATGCAGTGAACTTCATACAATGTTACACTGTTATCTGTTTATTTAAATCAATTTAAATATTTCACAAAAATAGTTCTATTATTTATTTTTTATTTAGATAGAATGATAAGTAAAACAATAATAAATAATACAAAATTTACTTCTATATTTTGTGTAATTGGGCTGCAATTTGAAAAAATTGTAGACCTGTAAATTCCCACTATCACCTATCTGTCCTTCCTTAATCTCGAGAATGGAGTTAGATGAAAGTCAAGATCAGATATGGAATCTTAGGGGCAGGAGGACTCAATTAACTATATATGAACTTTGGAAAGTCTAGATCGGAAATCAGATAATTGAAAGGAGTTAAATAGATGATTAGCATGGCTCTATTGCTAACAGGAAAAGTATGATGTATAGGGGCGAGACATTACTAATTTGAGGTGGAGAGCATATATTTTAAATTAAATAAATTAATTAAAAATATGATTAAAAATTGCAGCCAAGCATTGTGATGATGTCACAATAGATAATTGCTTGTTCAATTTATTTATAATTTATTATAAACTGATTTGATGTAATTAATATTATGAGATATATAAAACAAATATTTATAAACAGACATTAATATCAAGAAGAATTGGTGTGCTAAAAGAAGCTCCTTTATCAGAAATAGAATTTATTGAACCATTAAGTAAATATGTACCTCTTTATAATGTTGAAATTGAAGCTTATAAGGTAAAATAAAACTTATTTTACTATATTTATTTTGTATAAATTTATAATTTGAAGTAAATTTTGAAGTGAATTTATATATATAATTTGTATAATTTATATAAATTATACAAATTATATATATATAATTTAGTGCGCTCAAGATAAAAGTGCTAAAGGGATGTATAAATAAAACTGTGTACTCAAATGTACTGAAGAGGGACCTTTTTTAGAAAAGGACCGAAATGCATCTATAGTAATAGAATAAAGTGAAATCATTGGCTAAAGCTGTGTGATAGTCTACCGCCAATATTAAAATTTACATTTTAAGTGCGGATTTACAAAGACTTTACNAAAATCTTGTTACAAATTTTAATTTTAAAAAAAATCAATAAAATTATAAATATAAATAGTATTATACAAAGTATGAGGTTTCATAAAATTTTAACAGAAAAACAAAAATGTTGTTTTACAAACATTACAATTTGTGTGTATAAATAAAAAAGTGTCATTAAATTATATTGAAAAACATTTGCTCATTCATTATACACTCATTAAAAACAATCATAGCACAAATGTACAAAATTTTTCTTTATATATTATATACATAAAAGCATTTTATAAAATAATACAAGAATCTTTTAAAAATAAGGCAAAACATTCGAGTTGAGCATTCATTTTGATCACGTGTTGTAAAATCTGTAAAATTTTCTCAAATAAGCAGTCTAAGTATACGAAATATTTATCTAGCTGCAAATAACAATAAAACTTTCTAATAAATTTGCAGTTCCAAATGGAACATATATTTCACATAGTTTTTTTTCCTCTTGTTTTTCACATTGTTTCATAGCAATTTCCATAAATTTTTCATCCATAAATCATCATTTATTAAATCTTTTCAAACATTTTATTTAAAAATTATTTTAAAATGTTCCAGTACATAGTTCTCTAATATTTAACATGAAGTTTATTGTTAAAAACAATTTTAATAAAATGCAGAAAATGTATCTAAAATTCTTATTTGTAAATGTGTTACAAATACGTACGAATAAATTCATTTACATTTATTAAGATGTATCAAATACAAGTAAATAAAATAAAATAAAAACTGTTGTATAATGACAGTCAGCTAAAATTAATTTCAGTTTAAACTTGTATATTATTCAGTACAAAAACTAGAAAAAATTCTTAGTACACAGCTTATGAACACTGGTAACCTACACTTCAATGGTGTATAATTAGCATATACAGTATATGTATCTTATAATTTGTCAATTTTTGATGAAATTACAAAATTTCAAAACATTTTTCTTTTGTTTTATAATAATATAAACTTGTTAAAATAGGATATTTGGTAAAGTTAATAAATTATCTATGCATTTCATTCAAATAATTAATAAATAAGCACTCAATATTGTGTAGTAGTACACCCTTTTGAGATGGAATATAGCACAAAAAAGGAAAATTAATTTGTTTGTCTTGAACAAATTTTTTAAAATTTTATTTTATACGAACAGTAATCTTACAGAAAGATAAGATTAAATAAAGAGAGAATAATTTTTATATTAACCGTGAATATAAATTTTCTCTTGGATCTTGTATACTTTCCAAGTCATTCTGATTTTTCACAATACAAATCTTAATTTATTCAAGACAAATTATTTTAGATTTTCCTTCTTGCACTACAAACCATATTTATCAATTGTTAATATTTGTATAAGAATAAATAGTGTCAGAAAATTTATCAATTATACATTTAATGATTTTATTAGCTTTTGTAATTTATGATAAAAATAAAGTTGCAATTAATGGCAACTTATTCATTTTATACAATTTGAAAGTTATTTGATAAACTTAAAATTTTGTAATATTATTTTTATTACATGCAACTTTTTCTTTTCATCAATACATATGAAATTATTGAACGTGCTTGAAAAAAACTGGTTCATTGCACAAACAATTAATACATGTAATAAAAAGTTAATAGCAAACATTATTTTTTACATTATTATTTAATAGCTGTGGAGTTTAAGTAAATTATATCATTGTTATTGCTAAACAGTCAGACTGACTATATATCATTTGTTTTGAATTAAATCAAAACATATTTCTAATGAAATTCTTTTGTCAGTTATTCCCAGAAAAATCTTATTAAATTGGTTTATTGTAGATTCACTATACCTTTGTTTGAAATATAAATTTATATAATTTGAAAAAGAATGAATTTAGAAAAACTTCTTTTTACATTAATTGTATAAATTATATATTAATAATTCTATTCTTATTTTTGATAAGAAATGGGAAATTTATATAAATTTTATTTAAAGATTATAGTTATTGATATATTATTATTTTCAATCCTGAAAATAGTTTAGGCCTACTTGTAATTATTTTTTCATCATATTCTCGAGAAGAATTTAATGAAAATAAAAAGTTTTTTAAAAAATCAATGCTTCCAACATTAATATAAATATGAAATTTATTCAGGAGTATGTTAGTTTATCATTTGTAAGTAACAGTAAACCATATTTTCATCAAATTAGTTATTATGTTCTTATTATTGCATAAATTAAACTGTGGTAATTAAAAGTTCAGTTTAATTAAATGATATCCATGATATAAACTCAAAAATTACTACTACTATAAATAACAATGCTCATTGGAATATGTTGATAGAAATTATAAATTAGTAGTAATCAGAAAATATAAAATTTGTTTAATATGATGAAAAAAAATTAATTTTTAAAATTGCACAGTAATAATAATGATAAATAAATCAATCATCATCACACATCTCTATGATCAGTGATTCCTAAAGTGAGTGTTGAAGACAATGGGAATCCCACCTCAAGTGGGTGGAATCCCAAAGTGATTCCCACCCATTGAGGGAAGTAGAACACTCGGGTGGGAGGGGTGTTGGAAGACAATGGGACAAAATTTCATTTTGAAACAAAAAATATATATATATATATATATATATATATACATACTAAAAGGGGAAGTAACCTGAAAAATTTGAGAAACACTGGTTTAATAATTATTCAATAAATGAAACTAAAAGCAGATTAGTTTTTTTATGATAAACAATTTCATTTGCATGACAATATGATTTGTTTTCTTGTTCTAAATCATAATCTATAATAAAACTAAAAAGCTTTTCCTTATGTATTTTAAAAATAAATGAATAATATACAAACAAACAATATCCAGTGAAGAAAAAACTAAAGATTAGATTGAAAATGATAAGTAATTTTGAAAAGTGTTTTACCTATTTTGTCATTGTCAAATTGATTTTCAAAAATCTGTAGCACTTTCACAACAAAAAGCAAAATGCTTAACCAAATTAAATATGGACTTCATTCCTATTCTAGGAAGGACTATGGTTAATATTCAACAATGCTTTAACAAAACAATCTGTCACTTTTTATAATGAACATTGAGGATAAAAAATGAAAAATACAAACATTTAGTTTTCTTTCCTGATATTTATATAATATTTATTTACAAATTAAATTACGATTATGTAGATATCATTTTGAAAAACAAAAAAGATGTAAATTAGAATATAATTTTTATATTAAGATAGAATAAGCTTACTGAAACATTCCAGAAACATGTATTTAGTTCAGCACAAATGTACAAAATTTTTCTTTATATATTATATACATAAAAGCATTTTATAAAATAATACAAGAATCTTTTAAAAATAAGGCAAAACATTCGAGTTGAGCATTCATTTTGATCACGTGTTGTAAAATCTGTAAAATTTTCTCAAATAAGCAGTCTAAGTATACGAAATATTTATCTAGCTGCAAATAACAATAAAACTTTCTAATAAATTTGCAGTTCCAAATGGAACATATATTTCACATAGTTTTTTTTCCTCTTGTTTTTCACATTGTTTCATAGCAATTTCCATAAATTTTTCATCCATAAATCATCATTTATTAAATCTTTTCAAACATTTTATTTAAAAATTATTTTAAAATGTTCCAGTACATAGTTCTCTAATATTTAACATGAAGTTTATTGTTAAAAACAATTTTAATAAAATGCAGAAAATGTATCTAAAATTCTTATTTGTAAATGTGTTACAAATACGTACGAATAAATTCATTTACATTTATTAAGATGTATCAAATACAAGTAAATAAAATAAAATAAAAACTGTTGTATAATGACAGTCAGCTAAAATTAATTTCAGTTTAAACTTGTATATTATTCAGTACAAAAACTAGAAAAAATTCTTAGTACACAGCTTATGAACACTGGTAACCTACACTTCAATGGTGTATAATTAGCATATACAGTATATGTATCTTATAATTTGTCAATTTTTGATGAAATTACAAAATTTCAAAACATTTTTCTTTTGTTTTATAATAATATAAACTTGTTAAAATAGGATATTTGGTAAAGTTAATAAATTATCTATGCATTTCATTCAAATAATTAATAAATAAGCACTCAATATTGTGTAGTAGTACACCCTTTTGAGATGGAATATAGCACAAAAAAGGAAAATTAATNATATAGATATAAAGTTTAACTGGTATCACAAATTGTATAAGAACATAAAATAGTTAAACTAAAAATATATTTACCTTGTGGCTTTACCCAGGACCATTTTTTTAAAGAATTGTCAAGAGCTGAAGAGGTATTTAGACCCAAAATGCATACAAAAACAATAACTCAAAGTGATTAATTTTGTCATGCTCTTACATATCCTGTAAACAAGTCCTACATTTGTCAAATTGTGAGATTTAAGAAGTACAACAATTGATTAAGACAAGAAGCTTTGAACACATCTAGGCCCCACTAAAGAAATTAATATTGGAATAGTAGTATGTCGTCGTCACATTTTTAAGTGTTGAAGTTGTTAGTGGTGCAGAAATCTAAGATGAATGAGCATTCAAAACAGGTGCAAGTCAGATACAAATAAACTAAAAGTTTTAATGAAGATAAAAATGAATTTCCAATGTACACTACTAAAGATAACCAGTTACAATTTCCACTGACAAGTTTCAGCAGTTTGATTTTGGAAGGTCAAGGAATAGCAACACATTGCCTAACATACATAAACAATGCATTCTGTTGTACCCGAGAAATGTAATTTTCAAAAGATTTGCTGAAGGTAGATATCCAGAATGCTAGCATGAAGAATGAAGAATTAAAATTTGTGGAGTTGATGGGCTGTTTTAAGAATGAAAGAGAATTTCATAAGCACATAATTTTCATTACAAGTCATTGATTATGATGAAATCTAGAGTCATCAATATGAGCCTGAGTCTAAAAGACAGTCTACTGGCAAATTCAGATGTTTCTATTCCATAAAGAAGTTTAAAGTGACAAAGTGACATCAGCTGACAAAATTATGCTGCCTTTGTTTTAAGACGACAAGAATCTCATTTTTATGCATTACAGGAAACCAGATACTGTATATCAGTACCTAGTAATTGTATTTTGAGATATTTGAAAATGTCAAAGCCAACAATAATAAAGAAACATCATAAAAAACAAGCAAACTCCTCCATTTTCATTCTGAAACAGCACCAAGAAAATTGTCACTAAATTAGAATGAAAGTATTACCACATCCTCTATACAACCTTGTACCATCTGATTTGCAGTTGTTTGGACCACTCATGGTAGTACTGTTATTATAAAAAATATTCCAGTGTAATAATGACTCAAAAGCATCAGTGCAATTCTGGCTTTATAAGCAACCAAAATATTATTTTACCACAGAAATATGAAAGATGGAAAGGAGGAAGTCATACTGTCAAGAGTGACTATGTCAAGAAATATCAATAAGCTACAGCTTTTAAAAATAAATATTTCTGAAGTCATTAGTAATTATGTCATTAATTTATTGAATAGACTCATAACAATAATAATAAAATTTGAATTCGTTCTTTATTTGTAGACTTTATAATTTTGTTTTGTTGATGGAACAGTATTAATACATTTACACTACTGTTTGTTTACAATCAAATTTAATAATTAAAAATTTTGATTTTATCAAGTTATTAATAAAAGAATACAAAAATCTTAATGAGATAAATCAAAAGATGATGTTATTTCCAGACCAAACAATTTTTATCTATTGTTTTTACATAAAACTATGAATATTTTTATCATAAGCAATTTTCAATTTACAATATATTAAAATTATTGGATCGCTTTTGAATAGACTTTTTAATTTTTATTTTTGTTACATTATTTTTATGCACCCTTGATACTTATATTTACACTTCACTGATCTGAAGAATGAATTTTAGTGCATTTATGTAAAATATTTTATAACTTCTATGACCTATTCAATTTTTAAAAAAAATTTAATAATTAATGAAAGAATTGATTTAAGCTTTGGTTTTTTTTATTTGAAACTTTATTACTGCTATTTTATTTTTGAATTCAAATTTATTATTTTTGTAATTTTTCATTATTATTTTTTTTAAATTACTTTCTGAAAAAATTTTATAATTATAAATTTGTTTTAATAATTATAAATTAATACTGTTCTGCTGTGGCATGCCATCCATGGAAGCTGTGGAAGCACACTTCCCTTGTATTTTCTAAAATATAAATACATATTGTGTGATTATTTTCATATTTTAACGTACTTTGAATTACTTAAAATTAATATTTTATTACATTTTGTATTTTATTACAAATTTCTATATATGTGAAAAACAAGGATAAGCAAAGATTGCTATTGTATATTCGAATATAAATTCGTATAGCCATATTTTCAATGGAAGCACTGTATTGTCAAATACAGGATAGCTCCATGGAAAAATATTTGAATCATATAAAGCAGCCAGATTACAGGCATTTGTGCATATGCTTTACAGAGCAACCTCACATGGTTTAGCTTGTGGATGATACACACCAAAATATCATATAATGCTTCCAACAATTCTATCAATTAGCCACTCGCAGGGAGCTATTTGACTAAGTGCATTGTTTTAAAATTTAAAAAGTAAAGATTTTATTTTTATGTATGTTTCTTTACAAAGCTACATTTAATTATAATTTTCTTTTAATTATAATTATATTGACAGATTTTCAGACATAAAATCTTTAAAATTTTTATTACTTTTAGATGTTAATAATTTTAAATATTATTTAAATTTTCTGAAGCAAGTTTTAATTCTTTAAGTAAATTTTATGGAGAATTTTTTGATTTATCTAAATTACATAATGAATTGCAATATTTGTATTCGTGTCCAGACTCTATTGGCAAAATCACTCTTAGACATAAAACATATAATTAATGATGATCTGAACAAAGATGTACTAAAAGAATTATATAATTTAATATCATTAATTTTAACGATACCATCTACAAGTGTGTCTGTTGAGTGCAGTTTTTCAACCATGAAGTGAATTGATACATTCCCAAAGAACGCTCAGTCGGAGGAAAGGTTGTCATCACTAGCATTGCTTTCAATAGAAAAAGAGCTTTTAAACACTTTGATGGAATCAACGATGAGCAATTTCTATTAACGACTTTGAGAAAAAAAATTGCCAAATAGTGTTAGTTTATAAAAAATAATAAAAACAAGTTCTCATACCTTTGTTTCATATTAATTAATTATCTATTTTAGAATTAAAATAAACTGTTTATTTTTGTCATTTTCAGTATTATTAAATTTACTTAAAGAATTAAAACTCGCTTCAGAAAATTGTTTTTATGGAAACACAGCTTCTCTATCATCAAATATCATGTTGTGTCACTGCTGTTCTGTATTTTAAAAAAAATTGATATTTCAATAAAAATTTATTCATTGTATAAAAAAATTTCTACTATGCATTCTACTAATTGCCTTAAAGTTTTATCTGAAGTTTTCTTACTTTATTTCAAGCATTTGCTTCAAAAGATGATTAATGGATTTTTAAAAACACTGTGCTTTACACTTTTGACTTTCTGATAAAGAGAAAGTGGCAGAAGCAAAAGAGATATTCAGAGACATGTATGTCTGAAAGAATCTGATAAATGGATGAGTGTACATGTGTAATCCCAACCCTCCTGGGAAATGGATGTGATGATATGCATTATAGATTAAAGTGTTAAATATATTGAAACAAACTAAATATATCTTGGTTGCTTGTTGTTCTCTATTATATGTATTTTCTTAGCACAATGTTGCTGTTGAGAACATATCACACAGGAACACTTTCAGAGGAAAAAGGTTGTTTTATTGGTGTGAACAAATATGCATTTCGGGCTTAATGCCTCTCTTCAGTCCTGAGACAGTGACAGTTAAACCAACATGACTCGTAAGAAGATATACACATAGTTTAAAAAAGGGAGAAAAAAGGAGCTAATAGTTCTTTTGGCTCCACACATATACACATTAGGATAGTATAACATGTGCTGTAGGATGTGAAATAATTCTTATGAGATGTGCAGAGAACATAGACAAGATAGGAGAGGTTACAAAGAAGTGAGTGATACTTGTAACATACACTGGAAGATTGGTGTGACTTGCACAATCTAACCCCACCCCACTGTGCAAATCATACCAACCTTCCAGTGTATGTTACAAGGATCACTCACTTCTTTGTAACCTCTCCTATCTTGTCTACGTTCTCTGCACATCTCATAAGAATTATTTCACATCCTACAGCACATGTTATACTATCCTAATGTGTATATGTGTGGAGCCAAAAGAACTATTTTTCTCCCTTTTTAAAACTATGTCTGTATCTTCTTACGAGTCATGTTGGTTTAACTGTCACTGTCTCAGGACTGAAGAGAGGCATTAAGCCCGAAATGCATATTTGTTCACACCAATAAAACAACCTTTTTCCTCTGAAAGTGTTCCTGTGTGATATGTTCTCAACAGCAACATTGTGCTAAGAAAATACATAAAAATAAATATAATTATTATTATAACTTAGAATTTTTGGAAATTCTTAATATATATAAATTATTTCATGCAATATATAACTAAAAGCTTCATAAATTAAACATTGGAACATATTACAATACCATGAAAATAAATCACAGCAACATAATAAACTTATTTTACTTCTGTTTAAATTTGCAATCCTAATATGGAACATCTTGGATTCAAAAATAATAATGTAAAATTAACAATGCTTCTTAAAATATTAAACTTTTATTGTGTTGCTATTATTTGTAAAGTTTAACAAATTTAATACATTTCTTATTGATGAATGAAATTTATAATTTTAAAAACAAATATCATTAAAAATTATAAAACTTACCTGTATTTATATTACTATATAATTAATAAAAATAATTTCAATATATAAACAATATATATGAAAATACAAATATACTAAAAGCTTTAAATAATCAACACTAAAATTTTTAACATGATCAATTTTAAGTAATTTTGCACCATTTTGAAATAATTCAATATTTCTATTTAAGTAATAAAATTATATATCAAAATTTATCATTAATAATAATAAAATATAAAAAGTCTAATATTAAAAAAAAAACAAATTTATGATAAATTTTATTGATTAAATAATGTAATGCTAGAATAATTTCATTTTTCTAGTTATAATAAAGAAGCTGCTGTCTGGCTAGATATTGGATTCTTTTTCCCAGAAACATTTTTATAACAAACTGCATAATATATTTTTTTTAGCTATTAATTAAAAAATACCAACACCTAATTCAAGCAAATTTTATCTGTTAACCAGTTTCAATAAACAATTTAGTCTTAAATTATGTTAAAGTAACAATAATAATAATAATAATACTCTTTTTCATTCTCATAACTGTGGTTTTCACTGACACATTAGCCAGCAATACTTATCACTAATTTAAGTCATTATTGATGTTTGACTTTAAAATTTTTTTTTAGTAAATAAAAATATTTAATAAATATTTAGATTATTTTGTAAAATAAAGTTTTAAAACTTCATTGAAAAAATAAATTCAATAATTGAGTGTAATTTTTAGATATTACAGTAGTTGTGAACTCTAATCCACTTGTTTTTGATTTTGTTCATAAAATATCTTTAAACGAAAACAAAATCATAAAACAAAATAAATAATACTGATTATACAGTGCATCAATAAATAATAATTAAAATTTATAAATTGTAAAGAAATTAATACATTAATATATAATACTTTCACAAATGACAATAAATAAATAAATAAATAATTTCCTTTTATAAAACTACTGCTTATCTTGGAACTACTAATATGGAAAATTACAAAAAAAATGACATTTCTTCTGCATATGTACAGCACAATACTCAGGGATTAAAAAGTAAAAAATCTTTTTCTATAGCCTTACTGGCTATTTGCAGGGCTAAATGTGACAGACAAAAACCACTCTCAATCGTCACGAGAGTTTTGGTGCCGATCGGTCATTACATATAACTTTTCGTAAGGAGGTACCTCTTCTGATCTGATCCATGAGAGTTTCACAACAAGAAGAAACAACCATTCGGTCTTTTCGAGATAACCATCTATGCACTTTAGTTGTCGATGTATCTAAGTAAGCATTTTCAGTACGTTTTTTACCCCAACTGTGAGTGCTATGTTTAAATCCTATATTTTTCTCGTCAAACTGACTTTGCTTGGCTAATTTAGCATTAAGTGATGCAATAAATGATTTGTTTTCCACTAAAGCACTGACGGGAAAGAGCGGAGAATTTCCCGATCTTTCTACCTGTGCCGATAATTTCAATTCTACAGCAGGTTGTATTAGACATTTTTGAAAACATTCAGGATTTTTATAATTTGAAGTGCTTTGTTCTTTATTAGGTGATGGATCTGGTAAGGAAGCTTTTCTCTGAATTTGATGTGATATAAGTTTTGTTGTTGTTTTTGAATTAAAACTCTGAACAGAATTTTCTCTTTTAGTATTATAATTAGTTCCAAGGTTTTTATTTGATTCATTAAAAGGACTTGTGTTATGTTTTGTGAAGGAATTCCTTATAGATTTTTCATTACATTGTTGTGTTGAAACTTGAGAATTTGGATTATCACTTGTTGATCTTGGAAATATTTGTTGTTTAAGAATGGGCTTCTGTGACTGAGCTTGATTTTGAAATTGTAATACCATGGCTTGTATTTGTTTTCTTCCTTCAGTGTTCTGATAAATTGCTTCATCACCATGTTTTGTGTCTTGGCATTTTTGACGATTCTGGAAAGTAAGAGTGGCATTTAGTGCTTGAAGGAATCTTGTACGTCTTTCAAACACATCATTTTCTAGATCTTTTTCTTCCCAATCTGTGGATTTATATGTTTTATTAACATCTGAATTATCTGTTTTACTGTCAAATTGACATTTTTCTGATTTTTGGTTGTCAGTATTTGACTGTACTTTTTCAGAACTCTTTTTAACATGAACTCCACAATCAATATTTTTTTGATGTGAAGTTATTTTGTCTAAAGACTGAGATGATATTGAAGATGAACGTCGAACAGGTGTAGGAGGTTTGTTAGAATTTCCAGTTTTTTGTAAAGTAGATAGTCCTTTACTATGAGAAAATTCTGATGTACTTGATACACCTAAAAAAAATTATCTGTTTTCAGAATAATTGAATTTAATTAAAATACTTATAGTACATTTTATATCAGTTTTCCTTATTAAAATATTACAAACCTGCAAATGAAGCTGGTCTTTGCTGTTTAATGTCAGAAAACCACATATCATTACATATTAAATAACACCAATCTAACAAAAAAATTAAACAGCAATAGTTCATAAACATAAAATTAAAAAAAATAAGATAAAATAAACTAAACTAAAAGTGAAATATGAAATTAAAATAAATAAGAGAATAAAACTTCTATTATAATAGACCAGCAATGGCAAACCTTTTTCTGAAGGTGGGTCAAAATTGAATTTGAAATTTAGTAACTGCAAATCACAGATCAAATATTTAGCTTGAGTAATTAAAAGAAAACAAGATATGCTTGCAAAATTTTATTTTATTTAACTTTTTAATATATATCAGAAAAATAATGATAAATGTTATATAAATGAAAAGAAAATAATATGATTATAACAGAAATAAATATTTCAATTAATATGAAATCTGCTGTTGGATTTTTTATTTTTGAGGTTTATAATTAGTGTTCTTTAAGACTTTCCATGACAGTTTTAGGACCTTGTTTCACATTACATACATAAAGTTTTTATAAATTATAAAAAAAAACATTTGATAGATTTCAAAACTAATACTTTCTAAACTTTCAGTGCAGATACCTTGAAATCATTGCATGGGTTGTGGGTTCACCACCATCACTGTAATTAGACTGTACTAAGATTTCAGTAAGCATTACAATTCATTTTATGAAATTAGTAATATGTTTTTAAGTTTGATAAATGCAATTTCTAATTATACCGTTTCTACATATTTCAAGTTTCAACATTTTTTTTGACATACCCAAGGCAACATATTCTGTACATTTGTGAAGTTATTATTTACAGTAGAATTTTTTGCTGAATGATATTTTCAACTATTTTAGCATTTTCATTTTGAAATAATTTTATGTAATGTCAAACTTTTTGATAGATCTTAACAGATTTATAAAACATAGATATTGCTGAAACATTAAAGTAAAAGTGTCTTCTCACTTCATTGCTTTTATACCTCAGGAACATTAAAAAAATCTTTTAACGGAGTCAATATGTATCTTGACTTTATCTTTCACATTATACAACAAAAAAATTCCCTTGGTGGTGATAATAAAAATATTGTTATTATTAAAAAATCCAGGACAATATTTATGATCCTGGAGTTTTTATTAATAATATATTTTTAGTGTGTCATATCCAGAAGGAATTTTTAATGAACTTTGCATCCTTCTTACATTCCAGGACAGGGACAGTGAACCTATGGCACATATGTTCAAAGTGGAACATTGGAGAAATCTTCTGACACGTAATGTATCAATTACAGTTTATCACCCATCTTTTTCAGTCATCCTTTCTTTCAATCAGCTTCTTTACATTTATTCTAATTAAAGCATATTCATTTTGTTTCTTTGAATTTCATTATTCAAAGTCTAAAACTTCAGCACACAAACTTTTTTAAAAATAAGTATGCTTACTATATGGTATGTGGACTCAAAAAAGTTGCCATCCCTGCCCCAGTAATATAATAAAGTGAGAAGACATTTTTACTTTATTTTAATGTTTCATCTATTTTATGAACTTTAGCTATATTTGCTGAAGTTTTTATCAATTTATTAATTGCTATGTCATTGTTATAAGTATTAATAACAACTCTGGGCATATAATAATGCTGCTAAGCATATTTTATAAGGCTGATGTATTCCACCAATCAAGTCAATCCATGCCAAGTTTGATTATTATTGTTTTGTTTTTCACCCAAAGAATGCTGATATTCAATTATCTCTTTCAATTGAATATAAGAAAATTATCTGTTCTTGTAATTTATTTTTTGTTGTTTTCAATCAATTCAATAAATTGCATGATGTACCTGAAAAATTTTTTCTTTATTATAAATGGTAAGACATTTTTTTCAGAAAAAATGTTCTAACTTTCACCATAAAAAACTTTAAAATCCAACAAATACCTTTGGTGAATAAACGTTTTTGTTGGTTAAAGTGCACTCTTGAACCTGACAATAATGGTTTAAGATGGTTGCAGATTAAAAGTTCTTGCTGAATTTTTAAGGTTTTTATGGTATAAACTGTGTCTGTCCAATTGAAATGATTATATATCCTAAATAATATTACAAGTTTATATATCTTAAATAATATTAAATTTATTGAGCTAATCTGATATATTATTTTGCTTGAAGTATAATTATTGATTTTATAAATTTAAATTATCTTTTTTGTTGCTATGTAAAACTTGTTGTAATCAAAAATCAGGTTTAATGCCAATCTAACTTAAGTTAAAAGTACAGTAGAACCTCGATTATCCGCCCCCGATCAACCGACCCCTCGGTTAACCGACCGTCCTAGTCGGCAAATTTCAAATGTCCGCTAGTGATGTGGCGCTACAATATTTGGCTATGTCTTGGCTACTTTAATATTATTTTTACGTGTTTTAGCTGGCAACACTCATTCGACCATGAAAGGGAGCCAGTATTTAAACGAAGCTTAATTTTCTAATTTTTAACGATACAATAGCGACGATTATTATTTTAAAAAATTTTTGTTAGGCTTAACATCGATGAAAATTCAACGCAAAATAGGTTAATAGCGATATACTAATATACTAATTACATGGGATATAATAATATACTACACTAATAATGGATTTTTTCATACTTTTCGGTTATCCGACTTTTCAATTATCCAACCAACCCCAGTCCCCAATTAGGGCGGATAATCGAGGTTCTACTGTATAGTTAAATGCCAATATATTAGTGAATTGGTTTTATTGGTTTAATATTTAAAAATTTAATTATATATCTTACTTTTGAGGAAAGTTTCCTCACTTAAAAAATGTTTTGCCTAAACTGATACAAAGAAAAAGAAAATTAATGAAAATAAAATTATTTATAATTTCTTAAGACTGCTGTGCCGATAACTGATTTATCAAACTGAAATTGATATTTGTTTACAATGAAAATATTGATATTTTGACATGTGCTATCAATATACCAGACACCAAAGGAATCTCAATATCAAGCCCAATATTGATATTGAAATTTTGATTTAGCACAGCCCTACTTCCTACAAGTATTAATTAGTATATATACTCAACTTTACATTCAATTTAAATAAATAATAAATATGTTATTTCAGTCATAAAAATTTATAAAGTAAGTTTACAAGAAATTAAATACAAAATAATTTATGTGAATATTGAAAAACTTAATTTATAATAATCATTTTTTGTTTTGTTTAATATATTGGTATAGGATTAGGATGGTATTTAAGAATAAAAAACAAAAAAGTCATTAAATAGGATTATTATATACTAAATAAATTATTAAGAAATTATTTAAAATTAACTTTTTTAAACAAGAAATTAATAAACTTTAACAATAATGAAAAAATGAAATTTACAAACAGAAATAAACTATACTAATTTTAAATAAAAAATTTATCTTCAAGATAGAATATTAAACAAACTAATTCAGTGTGTTTTTTGTTTTAAGAAAAATCTCTTAAAATTGTATTTAAATATTTAAAAATGATTATTTATATATTTTTATAATCAGATCCTAATGTTAATTAAAATTGTGAAATCTTACCAGAAACTTTCTTTTCAAAGATCTTTTTATCCTCAGACTTATTAGTTTCATCATCAGATCTATGATATAAGTAACTTTTAGACAAGGCAGATGCTAAATCTTTCTGAAAAGATAACTGTAAAAAAACAATGCATGTTTATTCATTTATACCAACAGTAGTAATAAGTATTATATTAAATACAAAAAATTATATTTTCTTTTTTCTATATATTTTTGTTCTTAACAAAAAATACAATAACACAATTTAAAAAATTAAGTTTTGTAATTATCATTTATCATTATTTTATTTATTAAACAATTAAGTGAAGTTTAATTAACCATTTTTGAGTCTTTTCTTTATCCTTTTCACAATACTACAGAAGTGACAGTATATTGGCTTAAATAAAACTTCATTAAAAAGACAATGATAAATTATTTAAAACTTTTCCACACAAAGTTAAAACTGACCAAAACGCTGACCTTTTATTTGAGGATTTGATGTCTTTAACATTAAAAACAATAGTTACAATTTCTCACCATATCATGTCCTTTAGCTCAATATATAACTGGTTCTGACCCTCTGGTGGTGGTTTCGGATATTCACAAAATTCATTTGTATAAAATCATACATGATGTATGATTTTATGCAAATGAATTTTGTATGTAAATAATTAATGTTTATCATATTTTCTTTAATTAAGTTAATCATTGTTAAAATTGTAAATTAAACTGATGAAAGCACAATGTATTTATTCGAATACTACAGGCGATATTATATTACAACAGAATTTCATAAAATTTTTAATAATATTTTGCTAAAGAAAACATGGATAATAACAAAAACAAAATTTATTGATCACAGAAAAGTATATTAAATGAAATTTTAATTTTCAATAACTGAATAATTTATATTATTAAAAATACAAACCAAAATTTAATTACATTGAATCAAAATAATGTGATTGCTTATCATCAGGAAGTAGAAGAAATCAGTATTATGAATCTGATTTAATGTTTTAAGATACATATATAATGTAATTACCATATTTACTTGTATAATCCATGCAGTTTTCTCTAAAAATTGTGAAAAAAGTTAGGATGTATAGTTTATTCAAAACAAATTTGGTGATGCAACTGGTGAGGCCAGGATGTTCTAGTTAATAAGCCTTTCGCTTCTTTTGCTAGTGGTAAATTTTGCTTATCAACTGGATGACTTTGCTTAATAAAATTGTCATCTATAGTCAATAGTTATGAGCAATATTACAAAATGTTTTTGAGACACTAGTTTCATGAAAATAAGGATAAATAAGATATTCAAGAAAATAAGAAACAAAAAGATCATTTTGAACACAATTGTAAACATGCTTTTGAAAACATTTATACTGTATTTCCCTGAAAATAAGACCTAACTGGAAAATAAGCCCTAGCATGATTTTTCAGGATGCTTGTAATATAAGCCCTACCCCCAAAATAAGTCCCAGTTAAGATTGTCAAATAACATAGAGACTTATTAAATATGACCATCTGGCTGATTCCAGATAGTTGTATTTAATACATCTTGCAACTCATGATGGATGTATTGAATTATATCGAGGTTCTACTGTATAGTTAAATGCCAATATATTAGTGAATTGGTTTTATTGGTTTAATATTTAAAAATTTAATTATATATCTTACTTTTGAGGAAAGTTTCCTCACTTAAAAAATGTTTTGCCTAAACTGATACAAAGAAAAAGAAAATTAATGAAAATAAAATTATTTATAATTTCTTAAGACTGCTGTGCCGATAACTGATTTATCAAACTGAAATTGATATTTGTTTACAATGAAAATATTGATATTTTGACATGTGCTATCAATATACCAGACACCAAAGGAATCTCAATATCAAGCCCAATATTGATATTGAAATTTTGATTTAGCACAGCCCTACTTCCTACAAGTATTAATTAGTATATATACTCAACTTTACATTCAATTTAAATAAATAATAAATATGTTATTTCAGTCGTAGTGTCATGTTTTTAATGGCTCAAACTTCCAGTTAGTTGCCAAAAGATTTCTTTTTTGGATACTTGTAATAAAATCAGTTTAAAATAAAAATGTGTGATTTTTGTTATTTCAATATTTTTAAAAACAGTTTACAAAACCAGAAAATTATCTAATAATGCTGAATAATAATAATGTTTTTATATATAGTAATTGTTTTTTGATAGACCAAACTTCTAGTCAGTTACCAAATGATTTGNATAACATAGAGACTTATTAAATATGACCATCTGGCTGATTCCAGATAGTTGTATTTAATACATCTTGCAACTCATGATGGATGTATTGAATTATAAAATAATAATAATAATAATAATAAGTGCAAATGGTAAGGAGTTAAAAGTTGAAATTTGATACACAATTAAGGTGTCATGATAATTCACACTATAAAGGGATTTTTGGAAATTCCCTTCTGTGGGGGAGAGGGAGAGGGTTAAGGATTACCCCAAAGAACTCGGCTTCTACTGTACTATTTTAGATGTGGTTTTTGCATTTTTGCAGGAAATAAAACATATTTTTAGACCCATCTAAAAATTCTCTAATTAACCTTGGAAGTAGAAGGACCTAATTCTTGCACCTAGTGAAAACAGGCAAGATCAGATATATAATTATAAAGGTTATCTTACGTAATGGTTTATCACACTGAGTGCCTAATCTAGCACACTTTAAAATTCTTTATTCCTTTACTGTACACAATTTAAAAAAAATTTTTAAATGTGTTAGATTGGGCACTCATTGTGATAAACCCTTACGTAATATAACCTTTTGTAAATATAAATCAAAAACTATAATATCATATAATAGACGGGTTAGAAGTACGAAACAATCTAATAATCTTAATCATTGCTGCTGTTTTTTTTTCCAAACAACACCGAGCTCATCTTCTAGTAATAATATATAATTAAATATAAATAATTATTTTTATTGACATTAATACTTAAAATAAATGATAATATAAATTATAATTAAGTATTTGTAAATACCTAAGCGAGCACTTTTGGATGAGACATCCTCTGAAAATAGGACCTAATGCATCTTTTGAAACAAGAATTAATATAAAAACTGACACACAAACTGGAAATATATACTAAAACAACCACTTCACACCTAAGCGATAATTCCAGCAAATGAACAACAAAAAAAGTTTAATGTTCAAATGTTTTCTGAAAGATGGCTGAAAACATTTGAACATTAAACTTTTTTTGTTGTTCATTTGCTGGAATTATCGCTTAGGTGTGAAGTGGTTGTTTTAAGAATTAAGACTTGGTCTTATTTTTGGGAAGACACAGTACTTGTTTTCTTTAAAATTAAAAAATAAAATAATAAAAAAGTTAATTTAATAAATTAAATTAACTTTCTTATTATTTCTCAACTTTTTTTTCTTTTCAACCAGTGTCTTAAAAATAGGTGCATGGATTACTCGAGGGGTGGATTATTCAAGTAAATACATTATTATTATAAAAACTATATTTCTTGTAATTGTAAAATAAGTATATTCAGATCTTACATGCTCTATGATGTAATCTTGTGAAAAATTAACCTTAGTTAAGTTTAATAAATTCTTTGATGCTTTCATTTAATGTAAAACTTTAAAGATATTGTATAGCAGCTTAATATTTCAATATAATATTTTTTATTACTTTAATTATTTTAAGCAATATATAATACTTTTGTCCACAGTATTGTTCCCTATCTTAAGAATTAAACTTTTGAAATAAAAAGAGATTTTTTTTACACTATTCAGATAGAAATAAAACCTTTTTACTACGAATGAGAGTTTTAATAAACAAGTACTTTCAATCCTCTTAGCTCATCTTAAGGTTATACAAAGATCAAACTTATGATTTATATTTATTCCATTCCAAATTTTATATAATTATGTATTTTTGCTTAGTCATTTAACCATTGGAATAAAATAAATATAAATAAGTAGCTCCTCATTATATTGTGCTTTTTTTGTTCCCCAAATTTTAAAAGCACTTCAGTCAATAAATTTTAAAATATCAATTGCCATTGAATTTCTTTTTGCAACGACATACTGTATTTTATTTCTACCATTGTCCTTGAAACTACCACTGAAGGGAAACAATAAATTCCTCAAGATGTAAATAAGCAAAACAGGTGGACAGATCAATTATCATTTATGTTTCCTTTTGATATTAAAAGTTGTTTATTTATTGGTTTTAAGTACTGTCTCCTCATTTACTGTGAATCCGAAATTTCACTGTGTAATGTGTAAGGAAAATATTTCTTTATTTTTGAATGGAAAGTTGTAAAATTTTTATACAGTAGTAACTTTATTTTGCTTTTTAGAGAATTTTTACTCTTTGTAATTTTATGTTGTATTATATGTTCAATATTTATTTTTTAAATTTTCAATTACTGTATTGATAATTTTTATTAAAAAATATAAATTGCACAAATTTTTATTAAGTAATTTATTGTGAAATATAGTACTGTACAATAAAATAGCAACTGATACAGTAGAACCTCGAAAACTCGGCCTAATGTGGACCGAAGGGTGGCCGAGTTTGTGAAAATGCCGGGTTATCGGGAATGGGGTTAAAAAAAATAAGTACAAGTGTTTCCTCAGAAAATACTGTACTGTACTTGTATGTATTGTTTACTTGAGAATATAACAGAGAATAAACTGCCCAAATACCCTTAAACAAAGGAAAAGTACGTCCTTTATGAAGGCATAGAGCCTTTACTACATGAAAATGAAAATTAATGAATACACTGTGTACAGTAATTTACCTGATAAGACAGACCTCAGAAAAATACTTTATGAGAGCTTTTATACTTTTATAAAGCTGTCTATAATGAAAATTAATTAACTAAAGATTTTTTTGCCCTGCCAGGGTGTGGCCGAGTTATCCGGAGTGCCGGGTTATCGAGAGCCGAGTTTTCGAGGTTCTACTGTATTTTGTTTTTATATCAACAGTACTTGTTTTTAAATGTCATTGTTAAAGAAACAATAATGCTAAATGGGGATTCATGATATCTATGTTTACATAATCATCATTTAATACAATATAACCACGAATAAAATTCAGTATTGCAAAACTACGCTTATTTTATATCAGAAATACTTGGTGATGAAAGAATAGATTCCATAGCATGTATAATCTGTTTAGTATAAGCCCAGAATTTTTAGTACCCAATTATATCACACCACTGGATATAGTATGCTTTTTCTTTGTCTCCTGACAAGCACAATATAATGAGGGACTACTGTATTTAAAAATATTCATAATTTTATACCATAAATTTAATCTTTGTGTAACCTGAAGATGTGAGAATCAAAAGTACTTGCTCATTAAAACACTCATTGCTGGTATAAAAGATTTGACTTCTATTATAACATATTGTTAGGTCCATGCCATAAGGTCATATGTCATTTTTCTTCTAACTGATAAGTAAGTGAAGCTACAGAAACAAAAAAGATTTTCAATGAAAGCCTCCTATGAAGAGAAGTTACCATTGAAAAAAGTCAGGTCAATACAACATAAATTGAATTTTATAGTTTAAAACTTTCTTCTGGCTTTTCTGTAAAATTGTTTAAAATTGGACATATGACCTTCTAGCATATGCTCGACAATATATAGTCCAAACAAACTGGTTATTATTGTGAGAATGCATGTGAAGGTATCATACCTTCTAATCGTCGAGTTGTAAGACCTGCTCTTATAGCTCTCAAGGAACTGAGGAATCCATGCAGAATTTGGCGTGTATAACCCTTTTACATTTGAATTTATCTCCAATGAAAAGCTGAACTTTTTGCCATCTGACCCAGATGAAGTTAGGTCAAAATTTAGTCATAGGATGTGATAAACTTTTCTAAAGGAAGTAAACTGGTGTGAAAGGAAACTCCTTATCCTCCAAAACAAATGAAAAAGTGTATAATTTTTGTGATAAAATATTACATCGTTTTGATAAATTATAAAAGTAAATGAATTCTAAATTCAGATTCTCACATTATCATTGATACTGATTTATAAATTTCAATACTTCAGATTTACTTGAAAATAAACATTTATTCTATGTGGTATGTACATGAGCTATTCTTCATTGATAATTTGTTAAGATCTTGATGCATTTTTTTTATTGTACTAATCTTCTATTTATGAATTTCAAATAAATTTCATAGTTGAAGACAAAAGGAAACTATATTGTATATCTACAGTCATACGGTAGAGTCAACCTTTATTTTCAAGCTCTTCTCTTCCTCAAAATGCAAAGTTACTAAAGATGATTTTCACAATTAGAAGATTAAAAAACTTTACTTAAATATATATGTTAACTTATTTGTAACAACTGTGAAATTTACATTTTTGCTTGTTGTGTCTATTAGGTGTGCTAATCTTGATTTATCAAAATAATAATGTGATAATCAAATCTTTGTCCCATTCTAAGTTATTACTAAATATGTATTTCAGACATTCAAAAACATTCTGAATGATTAAACAATTGATGTTTTTAAAAATGATAACTAAACTGAAATGATTATTAGAAGTGTAATAAAAGAATTTTATGTCAAAATTGACATTTTATCTATAATTTTCTGAGGTGTTTTCTCCTCCTCTAAAGACTGATGTTTGAATCTTCTTGAAACGAAACTGGTTTATTTAACTTTAAGGTATAATTTAATAATTGCATTTTTCAGTTTACCAGTTACCAAATTCATGAAAATATTTCCTTTAAGTAAATTTTAATAGAATAAAAAGAGAATAAACAGCAAGGAACTTATCATTAATATATGATTTAGTTGTTATCTTTAAGATTGCTTATGTACATTTATTTATAAATAAAAATATTTAATTTTAAAAACATACTTTGTTACATCCATGGTATCTCGTTGGAAGACTTGCAGTTTTGGATGGAATTTTCAAACAAAAATCATTAATATTAGCATATATAGGATTTGGCATAACTGAAAGAAAAAAAAAAAATTCAAAGTTAATATAAATTAATAATAAATCTGACTATAAACTACAATAAAACATGGGTCATCAAAATCATGCAAACTAGTTTACATTTATTTATATTTGTTTTATTTTTCATTTTATTTTTATATTTTATTAATTAAATGTTTCTTTTATATTTATATAAATAAACTTTAATGATTCTAAACTGCAATAGAAATAATTGTAAAATTTTTATTTTCATTTATTATGTGATACTTATCTGATGATGATGATATCTTATTTGCCAAAATAAAATATATAATGTTAGTATTATATAAATTTTTTTTTTCTAAATCAATACTTGATGTTTTCTTAAGTTTACGTAATAAGATGTAATTAATATATCCAAACAATTACACATTAACATGCCAGGAAAATGGAAACACCAGTCTAATATCTCCACCTATTGCTTTGATAACTATATGCATATGTACTGGAAAAACTCACAAGATGTTAATACTACTATGAGGTATAGCAACCCATGCATGCTGCTTCAATTGAACTATAATTCCTTAAAATTGGCAGGAGGAGAGTCTTTCTTCTGATTGGCTTTCAACAGCATCCCAGAGATGTTTGATGGTGTTCAGTTCACGGTACCTATGAGAACAGATTATGTCACTGGAGGAACATTTTACAGCTTTCAATATATGAACCTTCTGTGCCCTTTATGGAGCTACATTATCCTGTTAAAAAACCATTGCCATCCAAGTTTAGGGCCATCATGAAAAGATGTACATGATCTGCAAGGATAGCCTGATAGCTGTTTCTAGTCAATGTAGTATTAAGATACACAAGAGGACAAATATACATCAAACTAAAGAACCACACAGAACACCACTTCCACTAGTTTTCACAGGTCCCTCCTGGCATGATTGGTCTATGACTTCATGGTGTTTTCTCTAGATCAACAGTTCCCAACCTTTTTCAGGTGGCGACCCCTTTTTATAAAAGCCAAGTGTCCCGCGACCCCAATACAATTGAAAAAGGTATCTTTAATAAGGTAATTAAAAAAAAAACAACAAAATTACATTTTTTAGTATAATTTTATTTTAAATTATGTTTAATAATTTAATGTGATGGTTGAAATTGCATGTTATTAACCAGCCTCAAAATTTTCAGGTGAGTTTTTGTTAATGCCAACCTCATGTCATTCTCAACATTTAATTTATTCCTCTCAAACTCTCAACCCATGTTTCAACCAACTGTGACAGAATAGCATACCTAGATTACACTTATTTTAATTTTAAAAAAATATATGAAATTATTCAAACTTCAAGACACCATTAAAAATAAAAATTGCATTATAGTGAATATTTTTTTTTTTTTAGTTTACTGTGTAAGTTGGCGACCCCACAGAAAGCCCTATGCGACCACCTTCTGGGTCGCGACACATAGGTTGGGAACCCGTGCTCTAGATGCACATCCACTCGTGGAAACTGATGAAATCTGGATTTGTCTGACCAGGTAACTCTATGATAGTCTTCAGCTCTCCAGTAGCAATGTTCTCTAGTCCAGGTTAGTCATGTGACACAAAGAGTGTTAGCAGGGGGACATGAGTAAGATGAAAACTGCTAAATCCTAGCATGGCTACAGACCTTTGCACCATGTGTTGAAATGATGGCCACTGTCCCAATGCTGCAGAAGATGAAGAGTGGTAACCAGAAGCTTCTCACAGTATAGATCATTTTTCTCTCTCACTTTGAAAATTTAATCAAGATTTCAAGTATTTATAGCACATTTTCATTTAAAAGTTTATCATTATCTATATACATTTTGATAATAGTTATATATTTATTAAATATTTTCCTAATTACTTTCATGTTTAGAATTGTTTAAAATAAAAATGATAAAAATTTAAATATATCTTACTTTTTGTAATTAATATGAGGTAATACAAGTTTACCTTGATCTGATGGAGTTTTATTAAAATCAGGAACACTAACACTCTTTGATGGAGAACCATATAGTAATAACTGTTGAATATGTTTTGCTTTAACAAATGGTGATTTATCTGGAATATATGGCTTGTCTTTTTCTTCAAATATATTTCTACAAAAATAGAATTTTCATAAAATTTAATAAAAAAATCTTAAAAAAAAATAATTAAGTAGCATTAATAATCACTTTATTAAATTGATACTGATGTTATCAATTGATGTTGAAATATATTTTATATATATATTTTTTTTAAAAGTGTATGTTTGTGTTACATACATATTTATAAAAGTTTTTCATCAGTTCTTAACCTATTCGATGTTGAATATTTTCTCCGTCATGTGTCGCTCCACATTGAATTTTTTTGGATGTTAAGCCTAACACGATCACACGTTTTAGAAAAATAATAATTGTGGCTATCATATTATTCCAAATTACTTTATATTTATTACACACAAAATAGACATATTAGGAAATGTAAAAAACAAAAAATTTTATTTTAAAAGTTAATTTTAGTGTGATATATCTCAAAACAAGGTACAACACATAGTGGAACATTACATTGTACACATTGATAACGTGATTCTGCACGTTTTTTGTTAGCCAAACATACTTTACATACTCTGGATGGATGCTTTTTTTTTCTGTAGGTGGTATAAAGCTAGGAAAATGCCGTTTGGATAAATGTAATGGATTTTCATTTGATTGTCGACCGCGGCGGGCTAGATGTCTGCTTGTGTGATACTTCTCTATCACTTCTTTGATAACATACGAAAATCTAGCAATGATATTTGTTTTTTCGTATATTTTCGATATAAAATACAAGCATTATATAATGTAATATCCATCATATGAAAAAACACTTTCTTATACCATTTTACCGTTTTTCTCATGCAGGGATAATTGTGTATTACTCTGTCACAGAGATTGATACCCACCCATATTGCGGTTATAATCCAAAATACAATTTGGCTTCATTATTACTTCGCCAAATCTGTCACGTTTACCCGAATCAGAGAATTTGTTATCACTCATCGTACTTACAATTGCCACATCCCTTTTGTCTTTCCAGCAGAACACAGACAATTCATCTTTTTGACAGGTGATAAATTCCCCTTCTTCCAATTTACTGCCAGGAAAATTACGTGACATTCCTATCTGATTTTTATTTACTGTTCCACATACATAGGTTTGTTTGTTTATCAATAGAAGCATTTTTGCTAAGATCGTTGAGGTGAAAAACTTATCTAAAAAACCCTTGTGATATTTACCGAACAACAGTTCAAATAAGGTTAGCACAACCTTCTCTCCTTGCCCACCTTCAAAATTTCCGTATTCAGTAGTAGCTCCGGTATAAAGTCCCAAACATATCCTGTTTGTGACTCACAAATTTCAAAGCTTTTCACTCCAAAATGAGCATGCTTGTTCAGTATGTATTGCCTAAATCCCAATCTCCCTTTCCATAGCATAAGACTTTCATCTACACAGATATTTTCCTGTGAAAGGTATGCATTTTTGAACTTGTGGCGTAAATGATCGATAACACTGTAATTTATGCAGTCGATCATCACCACATGAAGCTTGATTATTGTCCGTAAAATGCAGACAGGACAATAAAAGTTGAAAGTGGTTGCTTGACAGTGCTCTTGAAAAAAAGGATGTTGAAAAAAGATCTTCAATTGTAAAGTACATACTTAGGTGTGGTTTTCTAATTATACTTGTGACCATTATAAGTCCTAGAAATTCTCTAATTTCTGGATTTGTCGTTGATTTCCAGTTTTTTATCCGACTATTCTCTCGTAAATCGTCACATTTTAGCAAACTATCACCATACCTGTTCGTTTCTGAAACAATCTTGTTGACAAGTTCGTCATCGAAGAATATACTGAAACACTCGAATGGTGTAGCAACACTCTGTAGATTATATAGTATTCCTGATGGTCCTGTAAAACTGTTCACTTGAGGATGCCTGAAATTTGTACGAATCCATCCGTTGTCACTACTAAATCGCAGACGTTTAGCAGTATTACTTTGAATACTGCCGCGTGATCTGCCTCTATATCCACTCGTAGATGGTAAATCAGGATCAAAATCACCACTGTTATCACTTACATTTTGATCTGGTATATAATCATTGTTGCTGTCTGAAAATTCAGATTCATCAGAGCCTAAATTGAATAAATATTCGATAACTTCTGACTTATTTAGAGCACTGTGTCTACTACTTGCTGCCATGTCAAAAAACAGAAACGAAATGGTCTAATTTTCTTTGTGATTTCTAACAAAGAACTATTCCTAGAATTTTGATAACCTGCTGAGTGGTTCTTCTGATATGAATCACTTATTTCAAAACAGCATACAAGTAGCAACATCTGATGTTTAAAAAACATTCCGATGTAAACACAAAAATATTCAGGATCGCCCACACAGGTCAACGAGGTCAACACAAATATTTTCAGGAACAACATACAACAGGTTAATAGCAATGTGAATATCGGATGTTCAGGGCTGCCATTCTGTAGAAGTTTGACAATGGCATTTGGAACATCAGTGGAATCATGCTTGACATTCCAAATCCCATTGTCAAACTTCTGGGCTTACAGGATGGTGGCACTAAATGTCCAATGAAAATGTTGGCCACAACCTTGCTATTTATTAATCAGTCTTAAGTATAAAATATTCTTAAATTGTATATTATGTAAGAGAAATTCAATCAATACAAGTGAATAATACAATAATAAGAATATAATTGGTTATTTTAACTATTCAAATATTTAAAATGCTAATAAAATATACCTTTTTGGAATTGGCGGACTTGGTGAATGATTTCTTTCATCATTTCTGTTGTGAAAATTGATATTATCTGTAAATTTTCCATGATCATTATTACGACTTTCTTTAGAAAAGCATGTATTCTCATAATAATTTTCTTTACATATATTCTTTTCTTGATTTAATGGTTGAAATGTCTGAACAGTAAGAGCTGGCCTCACGTGACCAGAATGTTCATAAGCTAAATAAAAACCACAGAAAATTTTCAATGAAGATAATTAATATTTTCAAATTTTATAATCAGTAAGCTTTGGTAACAACATACCAGAAGATATAGTATGAGGTCTCTGGTTTTTTAAAACAGACGAATTCAAATGCTCACTTTTTAGACTATCTTGTGTACTAGGCCAAGTTGAAGTCACTGAGGTTGTTGATACTACTGGTGAAGTTGGTGAACTACAGGAATCAATACTTATACTACTGAATTTTGATAAACTGGAAGTCTGAAAAAATTACATAGTAACAAATTGAAATTTCAGAATTTTTAGAATAAAAATTTTCCATTTATTTACTACCTTTTCATATTCCCATATAATACAAATACAATTTTTTTTTTGTTTTTTACATAAAACTAAAATGATAAACTCATATTATTGATAAAATAGTATACTACCAAGAGATTAACAGATAGAAAAATTCTTAAAAAACAAACATCAATTTAAGAACTCTGGTGATAAAGTAAAATTATTTATGTATTAATTTCATAGTCTATACAAGCAAGGCAGCAAGCTGCCAGAAAAACATCTCCCCAATATGACAATCAATCAAAAACATACATAAAAACAAAGAAATAGTTATTATTTATTACATACATTATCATTAACAATAATATGTAATATTCAGATAGAAAACAAAGTAATTTAATGTGGACCTTGTTAATAATATAAAGGAGTCTTTAAGTAAATGATAAACAGCAAAAATGACAAAGGAAAATTATAAACTTTACTCTTAATTTACAGTCGATTGCAAAAGTTTAAGACCACCTATTATTATGACAATATTTCTGTCAATTTCATCATATCCTTTCCTTATTGCACAAGTTTGTGTTGGGTTTGCATAAATACAAGATATATATTTTTCATTTTTCAATAAAATACAGTACTTTATTAATTGTGAGAACACATTTGTTGTAATTGTTCTAAATTTCTTGAATTAATATTTAATTATAATTTAATCAATATCAGAGAACTTTGACATTACGAAATTAAATTCATATAATTTAATCAATATTAAATTATAATTTTATGTTAACTACATACCTGTTGAAGAGACCAATGTCGAGAACGATGAGAAGATGAATGTGAATGAGTACCATTGCTAGAAGAACTATTTAAACTACTGATACTACATACACTTGATTTTCGAGAACCTAATGAACTTGGAGAACTTGGAGGAGTCTGAATAAAAAAAAATTAATAAAGTTCTTCATAAAAGATCATATTTTCACAAATATATAATATAAAAGATTTTCTTCCTTTTATATTTTTTTTCCATTTAAATTATTAATAATTATATAATTCTTAAGTTAATATTATATATTAAATATTTTCTTTTAAATTAAAGCTAAATAGCAAAAATAAGTCTATAAATAATAATTCATCATATTACAATAAAAAACAAAAATAGCAAATAAGGACAGGAAATATATGATAAACCTTCATTTTCATAATTCTAGCTTCATGTAACATAGCTTTACATAATCTACTTATCTTAAGTAATAATGTTTGCAGAAATTGATATGAAAAGCTAAGGCTGTGTGTGTAATTTCAATAGGAAGGATATTAAGCTTCTGAATACATTATAGAAATTTAGCTCATTATTTTGATCTTTTGTTAAATCATTATTGCAGACTTTATTTTTTCAGAGTTACATGTAAAGAAAAAACATTCATTATAAATTGAAATACTTTTACAAAAACAGTATAAGAATTCCTGTAATGTTTTTGCAAAATGTTTCCTTCATGTAGCAAAAAAATTTGTATGCCAGATTTTGTATTGATGTTTTAAAAACAAGAATCATTAAATGGTAGTAATAGTTCTACTGATTGTAGAGCTATCATCAGTGAATTTAAGAAGACACTTTTAAGACCTGATCATTTAGAGTCAAAAACTTAAAATAGAATGTTATTAGAAAGATGTTAAACTGTAGAGGGTGGTTTCTTCTAAAATTTAAGACTTTTGCAAATCAACTTAAAGAAATTTAAAAATATTGGATAGAATTATATACTGTTAACAAAAACAAATATTTGTAATGAATACTTGTGTACAAAAAGCACATTATTTCTTGATGATAAACCAGGAGTGAGCAACCTGTTTAAATGTGGCTGTCAAAATTGCCAAATGATGCAAAATTTTCTCATGTGCCAACCAAAATTTTTGGGAATTATTATTATTTGGTATGTTTTAAGTATTGAGAGAACCTTTTGAAATAATCAATAATCCATACACACACACACACACACACACTGAAAAAACCTGACAAATTCTTTATAAAACATGAAAAAATATATAAAATAATGGTAAAGAAATCACTCTATGTCTAGCTGCCTGGCAAATGATATAGCAATTAAACAGGATAATGCTTGTATAATTAATTAATTAAAAGCTTACATAAAGTCAGCATATCACAGAGACAAAATGTTTATCTCATTTTCTTATTACTTATTATTAAAATAGTTGTTAGTGTTTGTTTCTTTATTGCATTTTTATTTAGTATTATAAATAAATAACGCCTTTATAACAGTCCAGCAAAAACAATTTAATTCTCTAAGAACATTTTCGACCGATTTTAACAGCCATCATCAGTTATTCCAATATTAAAAAGAACAAAGTATTCAAAAACTATGTAATACAAAATTAAAATAAAATTACACTGCGTTTGCACAGAGCAACGAAAAAACCTTTGTAGGTTATTCATATTACAAAAACATAAAATACTAAAGTAAACAAATAAACTTAAATAAATAATAGTGCCGTCACCGTGGATACATATATCAACCTGTGTTATTATAAAATGACTTCCAAGCAGAGGCTAATCCCTCTGCATCTCTGTGATTAATACATTCTGAGGTTATATGCGCTTTATGTATTTCTATTTTTTTCAAGATGCCTCACTGCCTGTAAAGATCTCGTGGCCCTAATGATTGCCGCACAATCCCAGTATACAGTTATATCCTGTTGTTCGGCAAATGCCGCCAGAACAGTACTATTGATGTTCCTACTCACAGAATATTTATGCTCATTTATCCTTTGTTTTAAGCCAGGCCTGGGAGTGCCATTTCCCTTCTGAAAAAGTGAGAAAAGTGAGTTGAAATACAGAAAAAGTGAATAAAAAGTGAGTGCAATAGTGACAAAACAAAGTGAAAAAATGAAAGGAAAACTCAGCAAAATAGCAGTAAAAGTTATTTTCTTTTTATTGTGTTATGGTTAAACACATTTTTAAAATTTCTGTATATACTGTAATACAGTCGTTATATCGCACATTTTTGGTCCCCCGAATTTTAAAAGCATTTGAGTCAATAACTTTTAAATTACCAATTATCACTGAATTTCTATTTGCAACGAAATACGGTATTTTATTTCCACTATTGTCCTTGAAACTACCACTGAAGGTGAAACAATAAATTCGCCAAGATCTACATATGCAGAACAAGTGGATGGATCGATTATCATTTGTTTCCTTTTAATAAAAAAGTTGTTTATTTATTAGTTTTAAGTACTGTCTCCTCATTTACAAGTTTCTGTAAATTCGAAATTTCACATCTTTATGTGAATTAATGGTATTGCTTCAATTCAGACAGAGGTGTGAAATTTCGAATTCACAGCATAATGTGTAAGGAAAAGATTTCTTAATTCTGAAAGGAAAGTTCTAAAATTTTTATACAGTAGTAACTTTATTTTGCTTTTTAATTAAAGAATTTTTACTCTGTAATTTTATAAGTTTTGATGTTCTATTATACATTCAATATTTTTTTTAAATTTTCAATTACAGCATTTATAATTTTTATTGAAAAATATAAACTACACGAATTTCTAATAAGCGATTTATATAGTACTGTATAATAAAATCGCAATTGATTTGTTTTTATATCGACAGTATTTGTCTTTCAATGTCATTGTTAAAGAAACAATAATGCTAAATGGGCGTTCATGGTAT